TGTTCTCACCTCCTCTCTTCTCTCCATGCTCTAGGATCAGGAGGAGGTGGTCCTTGCTCTTCATCTGAGCTGTGTCTCTCTTGCTCTTCCCTCTCTGTAAACCTTTCTAATCCTCAAAAGCCTTGCCTGGACTGACTCTGCCCTTCCCCAGTTTCCCCCAAGGCCAACAGAGCCACCCTTTCAATCTCTGTTGGCTCTTGTTCCAGCTCATCTTTCCCTGCAGATTCAGACTCTGATGGGTTTGACACCCCTGATCTATATCTATTTTAGATCAATTAACGGATATTAAAAAAAAGTTTCAATCTTTTCATAAGTTAAAAGAATGATTGTTTACTTTTTTAATTATTATCCTATGATTTAATTAATTAAATAATGACTTTCTTTAAAAAACTTATAAAAGTTTCTGGACTAGTTTGAAATGTACTTTCCTTCATATTTAGGTACTAATACAATAGATGAGATTATCTGGAGCTCCGAGTTGAACTATGGTGATCTCTGAGCCTGTTTGTTTTCTTGCAATTGTTTTTTTCTCCAGTTAGGTAATATCTTAAAATGATGTTTAATTAAAACAATATTTGCTAGATATAATTCATGCCTAAAGTGAATTGAATCAAATACTTTATTTTCTATTGATTACTGGGACCAAACTATCTCCTATTCCCTTGTTTGATAATATTTTATCTGGGTAATATAGTCTTTATTAAATCTATTTTTCATCATTGTTTTGATGGGGCACATGGTTGATGAAATAGTTTAAAATATCTTTTGATGATCTTGCATGCAATTCCCATATTATACAAAAGTGGAAAAGTATCAGTTTTGTCCACACATTTCTGCTCTAAGAAGTGCTTAAGATTCTAGCCATTGCATGTTTATATATGGATAACATTTTTGTTTTAAAATTTAATGATCCTATCTAACTTTTATACTTTATTTCAGTAGCGTTTCACATATCCTGAATAAAATTAATATGAAACATATATTTTCTAAGGATAGGTTTCCAAAGGTTGAGTTAATAAATAGGTAATGATGGAAGTTAACATCTATGCAGGAAATAGAAAAGTACAAAACTCACACTTTTTTAATATGAAATAACATCTGACCAAAATGTCTTGAAAAATTACTTATTCGGAGAGGGGAGGAGCTGGCACCGTGACGATACAGCTTGCAATCGAGCTCTAAGATTGCAGCCAATATCTTCGCCCCTGGCCGGTCCAAACGGACCTAAACTGTCCCGTAGGGATGGTTATCGTGAGGGGTATACCCTGTGGATCCCAGGGACATCTCAAAGTCCCTGGTTGACCCAGGAGAAGTCCCTTTTGCCGGTGGCGGAGAGGCAGCCCCCAAGCTGCTGAAGTTGGGGCAGCTCCGGAAAGGAAGAGGCTGAAAGTGAAAGTGTGTCGGCTGGGTGAGAAATTTTTTTTTTTTAACTTTGAGGCTTGAAATGACACTTTGATTGTAAGAAGAAATCTGTGAGATTTTTGACAAACAAACTTTGTAACACTGCCAACTAGAGGCTTGAAAATATTTCACTTGAAGTGGAGAGAACTGTGAAAGACTTCTTCTCAAGGACATTTTAACTTGATAAGATAGAGGGAAGAGCACAGTAGAATATTATTACAGGTGCTCCTCTGGATTTCTATCAACAATTAAATATCTGAGGTTTGGCTTTGAAGCTTGCGGGAAAGGGAAGAGAGTCATAACAAGAGCCTTGGACAACTAAACAGAGTGCAGTGTGTTGTTTCTTTTCTTTTAATTTTTTTTTAGTTCTGCTACCCCTCCCTGCCAGGACCACTGTAAATTTTTTACTTTAGCAATGTTTTTATTCTTACTTTTTATTTTAAAGGGGAAGCCTTAGAATTTCTCATTTTTATTTTTATTTTTTTTCTTATTTTTCTCCCTTTTTCATTGGGATTCTTGCTCTTTCTACCTATGCTCTCGGATTATTTTGGTTCCCCCTTTTTTTTTTCCTTAATTGAGATTTTTTAACTGGATTAAGGTGTGAAGAATCTGAAAAAATCTTTCTTTTGCTGTTTTTTCTTTTTTTTTATTACTATCATTATTGGGCCTTCTTCTTTTTCTTTTTTATTGTGGATCATTTTATGATTGGATTAGGGTCTGGAAGAACCTGAAGAATCTTTTCCTTTTTCTTTTTTCTTTTTTCTCCTTTACTATTGGGCTTGTTACCATTGGACATTTCCATTTTGGATTATAATTGGCTACCTCACTATTTGGATTAAAATTTGAAAGAATTTGAAGATTCTGAATCCTTTAAAATGAGTAGGAATCTCATACCTGTGGGTGCTTCTACATCTATTTCTGCCTCCCCACCATCTGGAGGACAATGTTCAATCCAGGCAATGTCAAAGCAAGACAAAGAACAAGAAAAAGTAACTTTACAGATGATTATGCAAGGAATTCAAGAACTTAAGATAAAAACAGACACCATTGAACAAAGAACAGGGAAGACTGATGAAAAAGTGGAAAATATTCAACAGATGTTGGTGAAGTATGATGAGAGACTCCAAAAAATCCAAGAAGAGGGTAAACGAAGAGAGAAGAAGATTGGAAATATTGATAGTAGATTAATAGTGGTTGAACAAGATAAAAGTGGGATGATGAAGTGGGAGATGGAGAGGTCAGAATTCTATCTTAGATTTCAAAACATAGAGGAAGAAAAAGGGCAAGATTTGGCTCTGACAATGATAGAAATTCTGGCTGATGCTTTGGAAATAACAGAGGAAAAGATGATGGATGGAGTAGATGAGATATACCGAGTTTTTACAAGATATGCGATGAGAAATAACCTACCTAGAGAAGTTCACATCAGATTCACTAAAAAATCCATTAAAACACAAATTTTACAAGCAGTAAGAGAGAAGACATTGAAATATAAAGGCAAAGAAATCCTTGTCTTAAAACAAATACCCAGAAGAGTGAGAGAGATGAGAAGAGAATATCGATTTCTGACCAAAGTGCTATTGAAGAAAGAGGTGAATTACAGATGGCTGATCCCAGAAGGACTGATGTTTACATGGCAAGAACAGAGACATAGAATTGATTCAATTGAAAAAGCAGAACTGTTCTACGCAGAATTTTTTGGAAGGAAGGAGGAAGAGGGAGAAAAAGATGTTCCATTAATTGAATCCCAAGAGGAACAAATGGACATTGAAAAAGAAGAAGGCGTAGTAGGTGGACAGGCGGATATCAAAGACCAACATGAACCAAGATGTACGAGAGCTGCCAAACCTAAATATAAAATATCATCATGGAAGAGGAAAAACTGATTGCAATGAATATAAATGGACTGAATTCAGCTGCTAAGAGAAGGAAGATCTTCCATAAATTAGGGAAATTAAAGTTTGACATAATTTGTTTACAAGAAGTACACATTAAAAAACAACATGAACAATTGTTAGTACAGCCAAAATTAGGGAAAATATTTACTTCTTTGACCCAATGTAAGAAAAGAGGAGTGGTTTTATATATTAAAGAGGCCACCCCAGCAAAATTGATTTACACTGATGAAGATGGAAGAATACTAATGGTGGAAATAATGGATAATAATATAAAAATACTCTTGACTTCAATCTATGCTCCGAATGACAAACAAGAAGAATTCTACAAAAAGCTCCGAAGCTATTGGAAAAGATAGAGACATATGGCGAGGTGGCTGGTTTGAAAATAAATAAAGTTAAAACAAAGATTTTGTCAAAGAACATGTTACTAAGACAAAGAGAAGAATTGGCAGAACTGTTGAAAATCCAAGTTATGAACAAGGTTAAGTATTGGGGGATATATTTGACAACAAGATGTAGTACATTAAAAGAGAATAATTATATTAAACTTAAACAACAGATAGCCCTAGATTTGAAGAAATGGGAAAATTTACAACTGTCATTAATAGGTAGGATTTCAACAATCAAGATGAATATTCTACCCAGAATCTTATTTTTGTTTCAAACAATACCAATTAGGCTCGGAAAAGACTATTTTGAGGACTTAAATAAAATTGTGTTGAAGTATATATGGCAAGGTAAGAAAGCGAGGATAAAGCTAAAGCTCTTGCAAGATGCTAGAACTAGAGGAGGTTTTGGCCTGCCTAATTGGGAGCTCTACTACCAAGCTGTAAACTTGATGTGGGTTAAGGAATGGGTAACATTAAGAAAGACTAGATTGTTGACATTAGAAGGTCATAATTTGTTGTTGGGTTGGCATGCTTTTTTATGGTATAAGGGAACTAAAACACAGGGTTACTTTCGAAGACATTATATATGGGAGTCTTTGTGGTTAAACTGGGAGAAGATAAAAAAACAATGCTATCTGAAAATTCCAGCTTGGTTATCGACGATAGAAGCATTTTCTTATCCTATAATCTATAAGAAGGAACAAACAGTTAGATATGGGGAATTATTAGATGAAAAGGGTGAACTTAAATCGATACAAAAACTAGAGGAACAAGGTATAAAGATGAATTGGTTTTCATATGCGCAAATACACTCAAGGTATGATGAAGATTCTAAAACAGAGGGGTTTTATGATAAACAGACTGATTTAGATAAGATCTTGACAGGTACTGATGAAAAGGTGATTAAAAAACTATATGGTTATTTATTGGGAATTAAGCTAGAGGAAGAACAAGTTAAAGAAACTATGATTGCTTGGGGGAGGAATTTTGGATATGGGATTGATTTAGAGATATGGCAGAAACTATGGTCACAAAATTATAAAATGACAGTGTCTACAGCTTATAAAGAAAATCTGTATAAGATGTTTTACAGGTGGCATTTTCCTCCAACAAGGATAGCAAGAATGTTCAAGAATAAATCCGAAAAATGCTGGAAATGTCATCAGACACCTGGCTCATACTACCATATGTGGTGGACTTGTGAGGATGCTAGAAAATACTGGACTAAAATCCGCATGTGGTTGGAAAAAATGACAAAGAAACATATAGATTTGAAACCAGAGTTTTTTTTATTGGGAGTTGTACCAGATGTATACAGTAAAGACTTGAAATATTTGATTGTAAATGTGTTAACTGCGGCTAGGATTGTATTTGCTAAAAATTGGAAAAATGAGAAAATTCCACTGCAGGAAGAAATTATTAAGAAAATAGTGGAATGTGCTGAGATGAGTAGATTGACATTTGAAATTAGAAAGCAAGAAGACAAACAATTTTACAAAATTTGGGACCTTTTCTATCAATGGTTGGACGATAAAATACAATAATAGAATATTTAGAATGTTAGATAATAAGGAATATCTTTGTTTGTTTTTTTCTTTTGCTACTTGACATTACATCTATAAAGTGTTTTTTTAGGATAGAATTGGTATGATTATATGATTTGTTATAGAACAAATTACCTAAATTATAGTTAGCTCATAAAGTACGAATGAATAAAAGTATAGTCAAATGATTTTTTAAATAATGATATGAGGATATATAAGTTTGGATTGATAATAAGAGTTATTATGTAATATAACTGTAATGGAGACTACGAAATGAATGTGCAAAACTGATGAACCAACCGACACACTGTTTGTACATAAATACGGAAAAGAGCTGATGCTTTTATGTTTTGTTTGTTTATTTGTTTGTAAAAAAAACCAATAAAATTGTTTTCAAAAAAAAAAAAAGTCTTGAAAGAGCAACTTTGATGTCCTTATTTCTCAAGCTGTAAATAAATGGATTTATCATAGGTGGAAAAATAGAATATATAATACTAATTATGAAGTCAAAGTGGGAAGGACTGTCAGATATGGGCTTTAGATAAGCAAGGGAACCAGTAAAGAAAAATATGGAGAAGACAAGAAGGTGTGGCACACAAGTAGTGAAGGCTTTTTTCCTCCCTTGAACTGAAGGAATTCTCAGAACAGCACAGAAGACATGCATATATGTCACAAGAACAAAAATAAGACAACACAATACTAATGTAGCACTGAAGATTAGAGCTACAATTTCAGATACATATAAACCAGAACAGGCAAGCTTAAGTAAATATGGGACTTCACAGAAGAACTGGTTTACATTATTAGAGCAGAAAGGAGTCATAAATGTAAAAATAGTGTGTAATGAAGCATTGAGAAAGCTGGCTGTCCATATGCTGCCAATCATTTTGATGCAAGCCTTTCTGTTCATTATCATTTCATATTGTAAAGGGTTACAAATGGCAACATATCGATCATAGGCCATAACAGTAAGGAGAGAAATATCACAGCTCAGGAAAAAGAAGAGCAACATGACTTGAGCAACACATCCAAAATGAGAAATAGTCCTTGTGTTCATAAGAAAATTAAAAACAGCTTTGGGGACAATGACTGAAACTGAACCAATATCTTGCATGGCTAAATTCATCAGGAAGAAGTACATCGGAGTGTGAAGATGTGTGTCAAAAACAACAGCAGGGATGATAAAAAGGTTCCCTGTTACCGTCACTGAATATAGTATCAGTAGTAAAAATATATGCATAACCTGTAGCTCCCAATTTTTTGAGAATTCCCATAGAAGAAACTCAGATGTGTCATTATCCATTGTTAAAATGTTGTACTCTAGAAAAAAAAATGGAAAGGAATTCTTAAATATTTCCTATTTGATAAACTTTCAATGAAAATTTAGTGAAGATGACATTATTCCCCCCTCCCCCAAAATGTACTAAAACATTCTGCACAACAGTAGAAGTACTGATACAACGGAAGAGAGGATTTAGGATATATGACATTCTAGTCTGTTTATTTTCATCTCTGTGCTTAAAGAAAAATACTTGAAAAATCTTTTCTCTGTAGGCTACAATCCCTTGTAATTTCATTTGAATTTTAATTGCAAAGGAAAAATGAGTTTTACGAATATTTAAAAGAAGAACGGGTTAGGATTAAAGAATAATTCAAAGTATAAACAAGTGAATGGCTCACTATCTTGATCCACATTTAGTCTTACAGGCAGTCTTGCATATTATAGGCAGTCTTACAGGCAGTCTTGCATATTATAAATATAGCATTTCACTGAAGAACTGATTAAACATATTAGAGCAGAAAGGAAGAGTGAATGTTGCAGTAGTGTGTAACATGGCATTGAGAAAGCTGGCAAAATTCATTATGAAAAAGAATGTGGGAATGTAAAGATGGTGACTAAAGACAATAGCAAAGTCTTAAGCATTATTATATTTATTGAACTTGGAGGTATTTGGGAATGCATTTTAAATTTTAAGGTATTTATTTAGTACTCATGGGTAAGGTTCAAAATTTTGGTTTCTTTGTTGAGATGAGCAAATTTGGAAGTATCCAAATTCAGTCAAGTTTCTTCAGTTTGAAATTATTAAGTATGCATGGGAGAGTAAGTTTTGCATAAGCTGAAGCTTTTTAATCGTTTAAAGAAATCAATGACTCATTCTAATTAGTGACTTTGGTTTAGAAAGGGAATGAAAATGTCTTTTGAAAGAATGTTCATCTTGAACATTTACAAAGATTCTAAGGACATGTCAAAAATTAAAATGAGGGCATAAAGAAAAGTAAACTGAACATAGATTGCATAAAGATAGTATAAAACTCCAAACTCTGTGGATACTTAGACATTGACTTCAGTGAATTACATTCAGTCAAGACAATGGAATAAGATAAAACCCCACCTCCTCCCCATGTGCAGTTTCCTTTTTCCCCATCCTTAACAATTTAAAAACAATTTTAGGTATTGCTTATGTATTATTTTAAAATTTCATGTTGATGTATTATTGATCAGAAGCCACCAAGTCAATTATCAGCAAGATGGGCACTATATAAATTTAATAAATATACAAATAAAAGACAAGAGATGCTTTGGCTGAATAAGTTCAAAATCAAATAAGTGAATGACTCACCATCTTTTAGCCATCTTGATCTATTTTTTAAATCAGTGAGATATACTGTAGATTGTGTAACCACTGCTTATATTTTATCCAAGCACATTTCCCCAGAGACCTTTTTTTTTTTTTTACAAAACTGTCTCCATTGGGAGAAGGCACTGTAGAATAAAGAATTTTTTTACCACTTAGATTATTTCCCTACAATTGACATTGCTTTAAACTGGGATGGGGGAAGGGGAGTAAGGGAAAGGTTGGGAAAGGTTATATCAAACAAGATGAACACTAAATATAACACTGTAAATGTTCCTGTCATGAAAATCTGAAATGTTTCAAATCAGAGAATTTTTGCTGCTATTTGTGCAGGATATTTTTACAGGTGTCCTTAGAACTGAGGTGCAATGAGATCTTTTTTTAAATAATGTCTGAAATAATGATGATAAGTTCACTGCTTCATCTGTGATTTCTAAAAATATTTCTCAGTCCTCTTGAAACAATTTTCCTGTAGTATTCTGAAGATAAGGGGTTTACTATATAAAAGTTGCACCTAGCTATCTTCTGGAGAAGTGAGAAAATGAGTCATGCATATTCAAATGAAATATGCTTTGTTTGTAAATGAAGATTCAAATTTTTCCCTTTATTCTACAAGATAAAGTTTGCAATGTTTATGCTACCTGCTGCAAAATGGCAGGAAATTGTGTTGCCATTTCATCATCCTTATGTAAAAATATTGTTTTATAATTTACCTTATAGACTCAATAGAAGAATAAACTTTTATTTACTTTGATAAAGTTTGGAGTCTGATTGATTATGTGTTACCAAATTTGTATTCATTCTAGAAAACACATAGATTTTCTCTATGATGATCAATCAGTTCTTAACATGGTCCTTCAGATCTCAGCTGTAACCGAGTCTATCCATCTCTTCCTATTCTTTCAGTTTTCTCAGTCTTATATACTAGTTGAGCACTCTATGGCTTTGCATAAGATGCTCAAAATATGAGAATTTAAACCTGGTCATGTGTACTCAACTAATAATTCTTGATTGATTTTTTTTTATTATCCATTTGTTTGCTTATTTGGCTATTCAAGCTTGCAAGACGGCACCACTGATGGCTGACTCAGTTAAATTCTCTCTAATGGTTTCTTTATTCTTTATTATTCTCTGCAATTCATTATGGATTTGATACAAGACCATCTGCTAATAATTGGGCAATGTTTCTTTAAGGAACAGCTCACGCCCCCTGTCTTTGCAAATGCAGAGGAGATTCTAACTAATTTCCTGGTGCTATGGATTACAACAAACAAAGGAAAGTGGCAGTGCCAAAAAAGGAGTTGAAGTAAAAGAGCGGGAATTTTAAATTTTAACTCTCTCCCTTCAATCTTTCTGACTAATTTATGCTTACTTGGTAATAAGATGGATGAAATACTCCTTTTAAATAGATGCTATTATGATTTCTACAACTGAACACTTCTCTGTTTTACTGAAACCTGGATTAATGCAGAAATTCATGACAATAGCATATACATCCCAAGTTTTCAGATATTTAGATCATACAGAATTGAAGAGACATTAGGTAAAATGAAGGGTGGAGGATTATGTTTGTATATCAAGCTAGTCTCAAGATATAACTATAATATATAAATTACTTGGTGAAAACTTGGAGTATTTACATATTATCTGCAAGCCATTTAATTCTCCGTGTGAGTTCTCATTTCTCCTAATAGCTGTGTGTGTTCCTCCACAAGCTTGTGTAAACAAGGCATTATGAACTCTAGTGGATTAGATTATGGAAGCTGAAGCCAAATACCCAGATTCCCTTCCCATCATTTTAGGAGATTTCAACCAAGCAAACTTAAGGAAAGAGCTCCTAAAATATTTCCAACATGTCAATTGTCCCACCAGAGGCAAAAATACTTTAGACCACTGATACACAATAGTAAAAGATGCTTATAGTTCTTTACCACGAGCAGCTGTGGGACACTCTGATCACTGTATGATTCACCTTGTACCTGCCTACAGACAAAGACTTAAAACCATGATACAATAACTGTTAATGGAGATGAAATTTTTTGTTTCTTTTGTTTTTTAAAGAATAAAAAAAAAAGAAATCAACAACTAGCAGATGACCTGAATGTGTTTTACTGCAGGTTTGAAAGGAAACTATGGCCACCTATCTCCACAACCCACATCTCACACCAACAACAGCCAAGCCTCCTACAACTGACCCCAACACATTGGATTCTGGTGTTCACAGAAAAAGAAGTGCAAGATCTATTTCACAGACAAAATCCAGGAAAAGCACCATTCAAGATATCTCCTTCTTGCTTAAAAGTCTATGCTGACCAATTGACCCAAATCTTCACCTGAATCTTCAATAAATCATTAGAGATGTGCTATGTTCCTTCTGGCTTCAAATACTCTACTATCATCCCAGTGCCAAAGAAGCCCTCCCTCAGGGAACTGAATGACTACAAACCAGATGCTCTAACATCTGTTGTTATAAAAACCTTTGAAAGGTTAGTGCTGGCCCAACTGAAAACCATCACGGATCCGCTGTTAGATCCCATGCAGTTTGCATACCAAGCAAATAGATTGACAGATGATGTCGTTAATATGGCTCTGCGCTACATTCTACAATACCTTGAATTTCCAAATACCTATGCAAGGGTTCTCTTTGTAGACTTCAGTTCAGCATTCAATACCATCATTCCAGACATTCTTCTAACTAAACTAAACCAGCTAGCGGTAACTGAACACACTTGTAAGTGGATCATAAGCTTCTTAACAGACAGAAAGCAGCAGGTGAAGCTAAGCAGAATCACATTTAATACCTGTACAATTAGCACAGCCCCTCCCCCCCCCCCCCCACCCCCGGGAGCTTTCCCCACTTCTCTTCTCCCTATATACCAATGACTGCATCTCAGACAAGCTATCTGTTAAAATACTGAAGTTTGCAGATGATACAATAGTGATTGGTCTCATTCGTGACAATGACAAATCCACAAGCAGACAGGAGGTTGCCTCGTGGTGTAACTGGAACAATCTGGAACTGAACACACTCAAAACTGTGGAAATGGTGGTAGACTTTAGGAGAAACCTTCCCATACTACCACTTCTTACAATACTAGCCAACAGTACGGACCTTCAAATTTCTAGGTTCTATCATATCTCAAGACCTAAAATGGACACCTAACATCAAAAACATCATCAAAAAAGCAGAACAAAGAATGCTCTTTTTGTGCCAGCTGGATGCAGTACTCTAGGTGTGGTCTTACTAAGGCTTTATAGAGTGGTGTTAGTACTTCCCTTGATCTTGATGTATCCCTCTGTTAATACAATTTAGGATTGCATTAGCTTTTTTGGCTGCTGCTGCACACTGCTGGCTCATATTTAGCTAATTGTCCACTAAGACTCCAAGATCCCTCTCACAATTACTGCTATTGAGCCTGGTTTTACCCAGTCTATATGTGTTTTTCTTGCCTAAGTGTAGGACTTTACTTTTCTCTACATTGAATTTCATTTTGTTAGATATGGCCCAGTGTTCTAGTCTGTCAAGATCCATCTGGATCTTGAGCCTATCTTCTTGGATGTTAGCTATTCCTGCCAGCTTAGTATCATCTGCAAATTTGGTAAGTTCCCCTTCTATTCCCTCATCTAAGTCATTGATGAAGATATTGAAGAGTATTGGGCCTAAGAG